TTTGAGAAAGCAACAGATTAATGGTTCATGAGCCTGTACTTGAATCTCTTACAGAAGGATGAATTAAATTAGATCTGAGTCTGTTACAGACAAACCCATTAAAATAGTACCTAAGTGTCTGTTATAGTCAGGACTCTGTTGATTTGGGGTGTAAGTTCAGTGGAGTTATACAGTATAAAGAGAGGAGTGAAAGCCCATTGACACAACACATAAAGCACACAGAACCCTCCAGCACATCCGCCCCCTCATTATTATCTGTGAGCACCAATCTCACTATTCTTTACCCTCAACAGTTGAAAGTCTAAAACTGAAGAAATGGAATGACAAATGTTCTGTATAGAATTTCATACCAGTTAATCAGAAACAACAATAAAAATAATATGTTTTGTTATTTGTTTCCATACTGTACATACAGTACATACAGTATGGCTAGTGTAAAAAAAAACTCAGCTTTATTTAAAAAAAACATTTTTAATTTCAATCATAGCAGTTAATCAGGGTCATCAATAATATACTGTACACCTTGCTGAAAGCAATAATTCACGGCATTTCGATTCAGATTTTATTAAAATGCTGCTATTAAAAAATCCTGTATTGGTGAAAAAGTGTATCACATCATAACAATGTGTTTATAAAAGTATATTTCTACTGTATATCACTGACAAAATGTGTTAAGGCAACAACATTTTGCAGTTTTTTACTCACTTTAGATAAATGCTAAAAATTCTTCGGTCTATAAGAATGAATGCAATGATAAATGCCCATCAAATATTTTCACTAATACATTGAAGAAAAAAAAATCAACTTCCCAAACGTATCCATCCATTTTAAAACAGCTTTATTCAATTCAGGGCTGCAGGTGAGCCAGAGCCTATCCTGGCAAGCAATTTGCACAAGGCAAGATACACCCTGGATGGGACACCAGTCCATCGCAGGACACACACAGACACAAACATGAACACAAACACACACCAGGACCAATTTTCCCAGAAGCCAATAAACCTAGCAGTACGACTTTGGACTGTGTGATTAAAGTGGAGCATCTGGAGGAAACCTACATGAACATGGGGAGAACATACAAACTCTATACAGTTAGCACTCCAGATACTGGACCCAGGACCCCAGCCCTGCAAGACAGCAATGCTAACCACTTAACCACTTGTTAAGCGTCCAAAGAAAAATAATTCTGTAGTGAACTGTATATACGTACAGTATAATACTCTTATACATTCAATGATTTAATAGATTACGAGTATACAAGTTAATTATGAGGACTATGAAATTGTGCAACTCAGTGGCATGGTGGCTAATACTACTCACACACAACTCTTAGATCCCGGATTCAATTCTGGGTCAGTTCTCCTTCTGTATGGAGCTTCTAGTCATGTTAACATGGATTTTCTCTGTGTGCTACAGTTTTCTTCTACCTTTCCAATGGCTGGCTGTTTTATTTGGCTTCTAGATCGTGCTTGCGTGGGCTTTGCATTAGGATGGTATCCTGTCCAGTGCTCCAGCACTGAAAGCCATCAATCCTAACCATTGTGCCACTGAGCCATCCTTCACTTATGTCCTCTGGTTGATATTTCATTGTTTATGTTGAAGAACTACACTGTGTTGACTTTGTCAGTGCTTTTGAGGATTCTGAATACTTGGAGCAAATCCTGTCTTTGTCTTCCCTGTTCAAAACTAAAAATGTTTGGTTCTTTCAGCCTGTCAGAGTAGGACTTTCCTTTAAGTTCTGAAATGCATCTGGTTGCTCTTCTGACTGATTCCACAACAGCAGTATCTCAGGTATAGTATGGTTTCTGGGAAATGTATTAGGGACAAAATCATCACTGCTCCTACAATATCTTCTGCTGCTAAATTGTACTTTTCTGGTACAATCTACACTGGGGCTTCCATGATTTAAAACCTACAAAGATCAAAATGCTAGGCAATGGGAGCCTGATGTTTTTCCTTGCAAAACTGCATACAGAGGAGTTAAAAGAAGTTCTTCTGCATCTTGCAAATATTTCTCCAACACTGTGATTTCATCTTTACTATTTTTTCTACCTAGCAGATTCACTGAATTCTATAAAATGTTTAAGCCTTACTTCCCTGACTGTTTCTTTCTTTGAATTTTTACTTCCACTCAACTTCTTTTCAAGGCTGAGTTGCGGGGAATAGGGAATGTTTTTGATTGCCTTTCATCTGTCGAAGGCTTCAGGGTTTTCACTGTATACAGTATCTGAATTGTGTTTTATTACTAACAACAAATTCACATCTGTTGCAGTAATTCTTTCGCAAGATGCCTCAGCATTGCTTAAGCAGACTGGTTTCCAAATACTGGAAGCTGTCTGAAGTGTAGACCTGCGGTGATTCCATGCAGCTTCATTTTCATTCTCTTTCCGTTGGTATAGTCTTTAATGACTATTCTCTGTCCTTTTTGTTTTATCATGGATGAAACTGTTCAACCCACAACTCCCCACCCTCCTTTACTTTTGTGTAGTAATTTTTTCTAGGATTTGGAAAAAGTAAGAAAATGACCAACATATACTGTAGTACTATATCCAGTATCTTTTGTTTTTTTAGAGATTATATTTTAAAATTAGTATTGTTGTATTTTTGCAGAGCTGAACAAACATAAATAATAGAAGGGGAAGCTACCGATTGTATAGGAAAAAACAATAAGTCATTATCAAGCTGTCAAATATGACATTTTCTTTAACATTTCTGCTGTTTAAAACTACACACTAGGTTCAATTGAGATTTATGGATACCAATGTCTAAACACTGCTTTATTAAATACTGCTTTATTATAGTGCTTGCTATAAATCTCATAAATAATCATTTATACCTTATAATTCAGCTTCTTTCATTTTTATAACAAAGTACAAAAAAGCAATGTATATACAGTAGTTCTATGTCAATTTTAATATTTTCATGTGGTTTAAAAGTATTCTGGATTTCTCAACCTACTCCTCTTCCAAATATTGCATTTCAATTAGCATAATGTGAAAGATTATCCAAAGAATAGTGAAACATGACAATGTGAAAAATGTGTTACTTTATATTGTGATTGTAATTTTAGACATTAATAACTGAGTAGTACTGCTTTCAATCCTCCACCAAATTTGCAAAAGCCTCTTTTTAAAAATATAATCCTAATTTTGGTTATAAGAAACTCTCATTTTTTTTCATAGGGCCAAAAGGACAAAGAAGACACTTAGGTAAATGATTAATTTAGGTTATCAGCATGTACTTTAGAATTGGCTTATACTGTACATATGTATATATACAGTATACAGTATGTTTTGACACTATACTTATTTTTATTTTTTGTCTACTATAATGTCATAATCCATTCTGTGACTTGTTTCTAAATTGTATCCCCACCCTAATTATGCTTTATTTAATAATTAAACCTGACCTTTGCCAAGAGTTAATAGTTATTAGTTGATAGTTATTACAATTCTAATTTCAATTAATGTAGTTATTTAACTGTATTTAGCTAATAACAACCATTATCTTTTAACTCTCTATATATGTTCATCTGAAAAACAGCCTTAACCCTTGATCTTTAATTGAGTCATTCTAACAAAACATAAATAGCACCATTTATGTGGTGTGAGATTCATCTATGTTGATGACAGGAAACTCAATTATTTGTGAACAATTTATCTCCCGTCCTGTGTCATTATCTGAAGTGTTAATAATAGTGTACTGCAATTTAGCATATTAATTACTCTAAATAAAATAACTATATCACAATGTAGTGAATTTTCAATAAAAGCAAGTTAACTCTGAATATACAGGTGTTTAACATGTTAGATGAATGAGAATGAGGAATAAGAGTGGTATTACAACAATATAAAAATAATTTGCAAGTAAAATTCTCATAAAACAATATTAAACAAAATGGTTAACCTCTGGTGTTCACCAGGGTTTCATCTGGGGGCCTTATTATTCAGTCATTACATACTGTACAGCCACTGCAACAGTGTACTGTACTTAAATGAAATTGTTTCCATTTCAACAGAAATGTATAAATGTGCTCCATCTGACATTGACCTAGCTGTACAGTACTGTATGTCTCACGGCAGATTTTGGATTCAGCAAAATTTTGAATTCTTGACTAAACTGCCTTAAAACTGGTTCTTGAATCTAGACACCAGCTGAGCAGAATGAGAATGGTTATCTGGTTATTGATGGAGCTCAGGTCAAAAGAAGTTCTGAGGTCAGAAACTTCACTTTCTGTAGTTATTCTGGATGTATTTAAGATTCTTTTTTACTCCATAGTGGTTACATGTCTGAAATCCTGCATTATTGTATATTATGCCAGAAGGTTTGTTTCAGCCTTTATCTCCTCCACAATCAATTTCTATCATGCTTTCCTCCTTCTATTTTCTCCAATATACTCTACTAGACAAACTTCAGAGCATTCAAAATTCTGCATTGAGAGTCTTAACTTAATCTATAACCATTCTCTGTTCTAGCATCTCTTCACTGGCTGCCTGTGAAATTCAGGGTTGATTTTGACATTTTGTTGCTTAGTTACAAGGAATTAAATGGTGTGCCTCCTTTCTACATCAGGGATTTGCTCTATACTTACATCCCTGGCCGCTCTTCAGGTACTTTGAGCCAAAATTCACGCTGCATACTTACAGAATAATTTTTCACCAAATCAATCAGAGGTAATCAATAGTTTTAAATTACATTTTAAAAATACTTAATTCTGATATTTGCTTCTCTTTTACTTCCTTTTATTTTAGTGTAGTTAATGTATTATACTACACTTTGTTTCTGGCAGTATTTTAAAATGTAACAAATACGAGATGTGCCTGTTAAACTGCAAAGTTGTATTAACAGCAATTTACACAGAAGTAATTATCGAGCTTTAAGATTAATGCCCTTAATCAACACATTCAAAGACAACTATTTATAGAAGAGCTTAACCTTTAATTAAGACATTTCATTTAAGACAGGTGGCATATGCTGTTAACACTGGTATACTGCTATTGACACTGAAATGACTTTTATTATAGAAGGTTTAGGAATAGAAAAAATATTTTTTTATCAGACATACGTCTTACTCAGATTAAGACAATTAAAATAATTGGAGGTAAAGCAGCATACAGTATATCTTTGTAATAATACCCATGACTCCCGTTATACATGCATATGCCTGTCAGCTGTAGGCTCCTTACCTGATCCTCTGATTTCTAGCAGTTCATATGGCTGCTGCTACCACAGCTACTTGCAGTAGCCTGCTGCATCCTGGTTGGCTCGTGAGTGGGGCTGACTCAGTAGATCTGGAGAGGCAGTGTGTGACAGATGTACTTCTCCTACAGCCCTTGCTGTCAGACTAGTGGCTTCTTGCCATTGGCTCAGTGCATTGGACCAGCAACAGTGTACTCTATAATACTATGCCTGTTTGTGCCACAGTGAACATCAGAATTCTTTCAGCAGGAGAAGCTTGCAGCGAGCGGAGCTGCACTTCAGGCAGAGCTGAGTGAGGCAAGCTGAACGTTCTGCTGCCGATGCCAGTGGAGGAGAGCCAGATCTGTTTTCATAGTGGACTGAATGAGGAAATCAACAAAAGCCGTGAATGGCTCAGCTCAGCTGCAGCTACCTAATGATGCCTGACCACTTTGGAAATGAGAAGAGTTCTTGGGGACAAAAATAAAGATTTTCCCACTTGATTCTTGAGTAAAGCACTTATCAATACCCTTACAAAACAAAAGGGTAATGCAGTTCTTCTGATCACTGGAGTTTACACAGCCTAGAATTTGGGACATACTTTTTCCTTTTCATTTGCTTCTTGTCTGGCTGAACTGTGTGCACTCTGTGCATGGAAGCTGTGGGTCCCATATGGCTTGTTATTATATTGTCATCAGCTCCACACACCTCAGCAATGGTCACTTTCGAAACATCAAGGGAGTTTTCAGGGGCCCGCTCAGCAAGAATGGAAACAAGACCTTGGTAATTATTAGTATTTTTACTTATGTGCACATTATTTACAGTATATTCTATTCCAATGATGTATGTAAAAAGGTCTTACAAAGCTAGATGCAAAAGCTGTTAGTTATTAGAGATTTAACTAAAACACTGAAAACTGCCTGTTTTGAAACTGTATAAAAGAGTTAGAAATTCACTTTATACACAGTTGCAGGGCTACTTTATCTTACTAAATGTATGATGACAGTATAGTATGTATTATCACAGATGGGAAGAATAAGAAGTGTTCCAACCAGTGACTGTAGGTCAATCTAGGACAGATGGATTTGGAAGATTATAATCCACATATACAAAATCTGATTAGATTTTTTTCCCCAATGTTCTCAGATCCACTGTAATCATGCTTATAAGGGTTTAACCCCTAGGTTATCTTATTATGCTTCTATCAAGAACTCTGGAGCAGATAAGCATGGATTCTCTGTCACTATACCATCTAACATTTACCCTTTTTAACTGGTGAACACATATCTGGCACAAGATGAAAGCAAAGAAATTAGATAGAATATAATATTTATTTTTTAAATTCTTTGGTTCCTTAAAGAATGAGTTTAAATGCAATTTTGTTGTTTTTTGGTTTGGGAAGAAAAGTCTTAATCTAATGTTGAATTTATGTTTCCCAATAGATTTATGAACCTGAAGAAACTTCATAGTACTCCTTCTCAAAACCTTTTAAAGTGTTATTGAAAATGCATTGCTTTTTTGCTTATTACACCTCATTCTGAGCATCATTTCTAGGTGAATGTGCCCTTATAAGAATTAAATATTTGTTTTGCATGAAAAATTAATGTTCTCCTGAGTGGAACAAATCCTGAGTGCACTTTATAAATCTAAAATCTGTGGTTAAAGATTAACATATCTCAAGCATTTGATAGTATGGTGGTAAAAAACCAATAAATCATTTCCAATCAATAGAAACGATATGCCTAAAATCCACGTAGCAACTAGCTAAGAATAATTATGTGAATCAGTCCAGCTCTTACAGAAATAACTCCAAGTTATTGTATTATTATTGCTGTAACCCTGATGTCATTTAACCTAAAATTAAGGAGGCTAGCAGGCATGAGAGTGGTTGTTACTTCCAATTTCACAGAGATCCATAATAAATATATGTGCCTGGCTTCAAGTTGTATATTGCGGTTGTAAATCTTTTGTCCATAGAGTGTGCTGTACAGAACAGCAAAATGTAACATTTAAAGAGCTTTAGTTTGAGTACAAGCAGAGGAAGCCTTTCAGGTTCAGAAATATTTATTTTTGAAAGCTTCTGTTGCAGAAAATATTTACTGTAAAAACTGATAAACTGACACCTAAGAGTTATTTCTAACCTTTAACATCAACTTAGAAATCTTATCAATATACAGTACAGTATAATAATTTGAAAAAAGAAAATTCGCAGTGAGAAACAAGATTGCAGCAGTATGCTATATTGATATTATCAAGCATAACAGCAATCCTATTATTCACATAACCTAAATAGTCAATGTCCATTTATTCCCGTAATTAAAGACACCTGTACACTGATAATTGTTATGTCAAAAAATACAGTCTGGAATCACCTGTTGAATAAAAACATACTAACCTTTGTTTTTGCACTCCAAAAGGTAACAACCGAAATTCTCACTTGCGCAAATAATTAAAAAATAAATATGTTGTCTCAGACAAATAGTCATCTTTTTCAATTAAACATTCTATGTATTTTTGTAATTATTCTTAGTGTTAAATTATTTTTAGCCTGGATTGTGAACATATTGGATTATAGCAATATTGTTAAATCTGATGAAGGTTTTTATTTTCTCAGGCAATGTTTATTGTGGTTCATTGAAAGGAAAACAAAAGGAAATCTACTGGCACCTTAAAGGGGAACTAAGCCTTCCCAGCTTAGCGCAGCATCACATGAAAGGTTTCAAACTGTTATCATTAGCAAAAGATTTAATTTCATGCAGTGTGGCTGCTGAGCTTGCAAGACTCAAAGCAGACCCCAAACAACTAGGGAGTTGTTGTACTAAGCAGCTGAAAATGCAAAGGCAGTCAGCACAGAAAATACAGTGTCTTTACAAGCCTCGTTTTTAAAGAAATTTGTTACATATAGAAAATATGACTGTAAAGAGATTATCCATTATGTCACACTTAAAGACTATATAAGACTAAATAGAGCACAGTTTGTTTTCTTAAGCAAATTGTGATTACTCCAGTACAATTTTGTATCTGTTAACATCTTATGCTGTCTCACAACAATGGTTAGTGGTTAAATTGTAATGTTTAATTAATCATTTAAAATATTCATGACAGAATTCCATGAAATTGAATGAAAGAATTAGTTGTTTAATACTTCTCTTTTTGAAGTGCTTAATGTTTGCATTTGTAAAAAGCTATATTTTCAACATACAGTAACATAAGTTTATTATACTGTTATAAGTTTCTCTGCATTCTAGAGATGTTTCATGTTGCTTTGAATAATAACATAAGAACAGAACAAGAGGTGCCCATTCAGTACATCTAATTTTGGTTCAGTCTGATCCCACATTTTTTCTCATCAGTTTTGATTTTCTTGAGTCACTTTTACATATCATTTGATTTTTTTTCCATTGTTGATTTAATTCTGTTTCTTGTCAAAGTATATTATTATGATGATGTATTGGAACAATTCATCATTGTCACCTGCATCTACTGTATATACATTGTAGGGCTTAAGCCAGAATCATCATATGCACAGCTAATTTGTAATACAAAGAGTATCCTGCCTCCTTCAAAACCCAGCTTCAACACTACATGAATTAACTTGTAAAGACAATATAAGTATCTTTGATTTAACTCCTCTAGAGTTTGCTTGCTTGTCAGTGTGTAAATGTGAAATAATCGATTGAGCATGAAAATAGAACACTGCTGGCAAAGGATTTCTAAAGAGTTTTGTTACACTTGAAAGTTTTCTGTAACTTCAGTGACCTATTGTAACTGATCAGTTACAACATCTTGCAATGCATTTGCCCAAATACATTTTTTCTTACTAGAGTAGCTGTTTTAATAGCAATTATAAAAGTCTGTTCAGGATGGAATAAGAATTGTTCTAGTAGACAAAATACAATAACAGATGTTTCAAGAATAGAAGAAAAAACAGACTTTCACCTTAAGCATACAATACTTTGAAATTTCAAATTCGGTGATGCAATTGTTTAAACCAGTTGTCTTATTCAGAACTAGAACAGCGATGATTGCAAAGGTTTTATACCAATCTCTGAAGACCAGTTCAGCGCAACCTATTTACTATTCTCAAAAAAATAAACATCTCAACTGTTTTGTTAGTGAAACTGATCAACTCCCCTTATTGGCTGCTCTTTTTCATTTCAGCTGGAAAGGATACACTTGTCATTAATCTTCAGACTGTATTCCTGCACAGAGTACATGCATTCCTGACTTTATGACAAGAGACACACAAAGAAAAAGACATGCTTTGATTTATGAGCTCTACAGTTAGATACATAGGAGTGTAAAACTCCAACACCTCCCCAGTATTTTTCGGTTAACGCAGTGTAAGGGCTTTTTAACCTGAGTACAAACCTTTGCATAATTTACAACATGCTGTATTCTCAATGGTCTGGCTGTCAGGAGTAGTAGAGTAGCACACATCTGAATCACTAACATCTTGTCTGTTTAAATGGCTGTTTCTTCCTCAGAATTTATTTTCTACTAATTGCGAGCTGTGCTGCGAAGGGATGAAGGGGAGAGCGAAGAGTGCCTTGCAATGTGTGAACGCAGACTGATCACAGGGAAATTTGATAAAGTCAGCCTTCTGCTTTGCTGCAATGATTTTCTAACTGCCATAGTCAGGGGCTTATTGCTTTTTGAAGAAGAAGTGTGTGATTATACAGCTGTTATGCCCCAATCAAACAGATACCATTTTATAGATTCAGAGTTTAACAGCTGGGGTATACGAAACCACTGTTTTGAATTCTGTCCATATTAATTATTTGACTACAAAGTCATTCAAATTTGTTGAAAAGCAGTGAATTGCAATTTCTCTCAACACCCCCACCCTTCACAAATGTAATCAATGATATACAGTAAAGTGCTTTTATTTATTTGAAGTATTTTACCATATTACAAATGAGACAGGTCGGTACTTCAGAAGTACTTTTTTTGCACACATACAGTATGCGCTATGACCAGGTAAAGAAAATAGCTCCTAGTTCCAATCACTCATTCCAACCTGGAGAACCTTTTTTACTCTATTCACTCAGGATAAATGTTGCACATGCTAATTTAAAGCTGTCGGTGCCTGCCAGCCTCTCTTAGCTGTTAGAATATCACTGTTTAATTTGCATAACCCCACATGTTGTTTCAGGAATGTTACATGAATTTGAGATTATACAATTATTCATATATATTATAATCAAAGCAAAGTTATTTTGGAATAACCTTGAAAAATAACATCTTGCAAACAGAATTGTAATATCAGTTAAAGACAGCCTTGTTACACAGAGTGAGGTTTGAAGGGGTTTCCACAATGGACCACATTGTTTGTGTTAGAATTTTTCACGTTTTTGAGGGCACTTTGCTTAAGTGAAAACTGTTAGCTGGGTAAAACGTTTATGATTTTGAGTTATTTAACATTATTTTATTAATGTCCCTTAATGTACATATATACAGTAATATTTATTTTGCGTCATAATGGTCATTTCTAGAAAAGAATAAAAATAGACACTGTATTTAAAATCAGACAGAAAATAATATATTTTAAGAAGTGGCTTAGTGTTCACACAGTAGTGAAAAACCAAAGGGTATGTCTCATTCACACTATTCTTTCCATGAAAACATTAATCTAAATAAACAGCGTATTTCTGAGTCACAAAGCTACAGCTTTACTGTTTGCAGCTCTTGGATTTTTGGTCTCGTACAAAGCATGAAACTAAAATTGTATTTCACAGCATAAGTGAACAGAATTGACTGTATAATGCATTTTAAGTTGCAAG